GAATCATAAGCCCTAACGGACTATCTGGAGGTATTTTAGGGAGTTCACCACCCCCACCCTGCTTATTCTGTATGGTGCCAGAAGCCTTACTCTTCTTCTGGCTCATCTTCCGGCAGTGCCTTCTGTCACACAAGTCACTCGCTTAGCCCGTTGGACTCCTAAGTCCGGTGGACGTCTCAATCACTCACACTGCGGGTACCCAGTCCCCAACCAAACGGTATCACAATATACTCACTCAGTCCAGAGTCTTCATTCGGTCTTCGTGCACAAATATTATGGGGAATGGCCGTCTTGGGGTGTTACCGGGGAGTCCGATCCCCCACCCCGTATCCTCTTTGCTCTCCTATCTCGGATCGGAAAATCCAGGTGAGCTAGGTCGGGATTCCCTCTGGGACCATCCAAGGATGGGGCACCCTCCCAGAGTTGAATTCCGAGTCAGCTGTCTGGATCCGAGTCACGGCACCAAATTTTGTTATAGGTAGATTAAGGCAAATCACATCCAAATATGGATTAATGAATCATTAAGGTAAGAGAGCAAATGCAGCGCTGGGATGGCCGAGGAGTTGCAGCTCCATCCAGGCTCACCAAATTGTTTAAGTTTGAAACCCCCTTTTATCCACACAGCTGCCGGTTTCAACACCTTCGGCACGCCTCCTGGCTTCTTCTACAATCTTACCTTCTTCTTTCTTCAGTCCTGTGGTCACAGTACACCTTGTCCTTCAAGTCTGGGCCAATTTGCAGCTCCTTTGTCTTTTATGGCTCAGTGGTTTCAGCTCCTCTCTTCTCTCAAGGACAAAGGATACCAGAGATGGCCCGTTCTGTTCTTTCTCATTCCATTGCAAAGGAGTTACCACCCTTTGATATGGACCATCTGGTGAGCATCCCAAGGAGGGGGGGCTGTTGGGTTGGTGTTTCCTCAGATCAATTCCCTCCTTTTCTTTTCCCAGTAGTAAAGTCTTTTACTTTTCTTAAAATTTGGATCATTGTACTAACAATAGCTTTAGCCTAAGAAGTAATTGTTTAATTATTTTTAGCGAAAGCAAAATTCTTCTATTATTTATCATATTGTCCAGTCATTTTTATGTCAGAATTTTAATTTTCTTACACTATAACCAGTATTATTTGCACACAGAGTAGTGTTTCATTCCTAATATTGGATGCAAGGCTCTTTTTTTTCAACTAGACTTACTAACATAATGATTTCTTGATATCCTATATGAATTTTCTTTTTGTTGTGGGATTTTAGTGCATTACAATTGCTAAGTTTTCCTTACTCATCTGCAGTTCTTAGCAGATGTAGATTATTTCTTTGGAGAACTGTTCTGTCTAAATGAACTTACTGTTGTGCTTAGCAATCTAAAAGATCACTATGCTTTGTGGATAATTGTTTTTGTTATGGTGATTGTACAAAAACTTGTTGAATTTTATTTTTATACTGTTTTATTGGTATAAATGACTCATGGGAAGGTACGCTGATGAGACACAGCTTTTTTTTCCATGAGAAATTAATATATAGAGATTATTATTTTCTTCCTCTCCCCCCCCTTCCTGTGTTTCGCCAAAGAGTAAGAATGTGTTGTGGTTTGACACCAGAGGGTAACTGAGCACCATGCAGCCCTTCACTCATCCTTTCCTACTGTTAGGAATGCAAAGGTGAAAAGGCAGAAATGACTCAAAGAATCCAATCTAAGGACAGGGAGGGATAGCTCACCCATTATGGTCACTGGCAAAAGACAGACTGATTAGAGGAAGAAAAGAAAACATGACTTTAATTCTAATGCTAACAAAGACAACGATTACAGACAAGGTGAGACAGTGAGAAGCCTACCACATCCAAAAACACCTTCCCCACACCCCTCCCTTCTTCCCAGGCTCAGTTCTGCTCCTGGTTTCTCTACCTCCTCCCCCAGTGGCTCAAGGGGCAGGTGATGGGGACTACAGTCAGTTTTGCAGCTGCTTCCTTCTAGTGATGGGGGGTGAAGGCTGCACATGCCTCCCCACAGGATGCAGCCATTTCCATACCGATCCAGCATGGGTCACCCCTGCATGTTGCAGTCCTCCCAGCACTGAACTATAACTGCGGGGGCCACTTCTCCCCTCAGAGTCCCAGCTTACTTTAAGCACGGATGCCTGCCCTGGAGTGGGCTTCTCCACAGGTTTCGGGTTGGCCTCTACTCCACTGCAGACCTCCATGGATGGCAGGGTGACGGCCCTGCCATCTCACCACGGGATACAGGGGTCTCTGTTCCCGCACACCTCCCCCCACATCCTTCTGCCTTCCATTGACCTTGATGTTCGTTCATCCTTCTCCCCACTCCTCCTCACAAGTCCCAGCCCCCCTCTCAGGTTCCCCTTCTTAAATACTTCTCACAAAGGCGTAGCCACCATCGCTAATTGGCTTGGCCCTGGTCAGAGGTGGGTCCAGCTTGGAGCCAGGGGAGCTGTCCAGAAGCTTCTCACAGGGTGGCACTGCTGTTGCCTTCTCCCTAGCTACCAAAAAACAATGCAATTTTGGTTGCTAGAAGGTGAGGGAGATGATGATGGATTCCTTTTATAAGTTAAGGACAGAGTTGTTCTTTAAAGAGTTTCAAGGTGTGAATCTTGTGTGTATGTGTGTACATATACATAATCCATTTGGGATTTCCAGTGCAGAAATGCTGCTCTGTGTGTGCTAATGAGGCATTAGTCATCCATTTATTTAAACCCTTTTTTTTTATTTCATATCTGTGTTCAAAGCTTCCCACACAAAGCATAATAGTGTGCTTGTTAACTCTGCAACTACACCTCATTCTCAAGCTTCTTGTTGAAAAGTAGTAGCTAAAGACCATGTGTATGTACACTGTTTCATAAAGAGTTGACTGGATTTTCAGATGAAAACAGTTTAAATATTTGCTAGTGTTTATATGGCTCTGTATAGCTTGTGTTTTTCTGGAATAGATGGGGTAATTAGAAACAGCTATGGCAAAACCTGTTACATCAGCCACAGCTGACAGGTGGTTCTGAGTGTTGGCTTTGTGCTGGAACTTTGAGTTTTCCCTTAAATATTACCTTTTTTCCCATTTTTTCTAGAAGTTTGGGAGGGAGGAGAAAAACTAGGACAGAAGAGTTGTTCGTATATTCAACAATGTCATTTACTGGTTTAGGTAGTCCAATAAATGAAAAAAGCCTTTGTTTGACAGAAGTAGCAAATACAGGTTGTAATTTAGTTAAGAGGTTTGCCTATCTCATGAGTTAATTCCTTATTATGAATGAAAAATCAGTGTAACAGGATGAAGATTCTTGTGACTACCTCGGTGACCGGTCAGATTTCACCACTCAGGGATATCTCAGCAGTCTTATCGCTGCTAAAAAATTCTTCTGACTTAAATTCAGAGGACGAAATGGAGTATTCTTGAACTAGTTTATTTAAGTGAAAGTAAAACTTAAACAGATTTTTGAATGTCTGTAGTATGTAGCATCTCTTCCAGGATAACCATTTTCTGTAGAACTCAGTATAATTTAGCATACAAGCAAGTCACATGAATTATTTTAAATTCCTGGAACAGTGGAACAACATGTCTAGATTTTCAGCTTGAAAATATATCATAAAAACATAGTAGCAGAAAATTGGTTATTCCTTTTAAGAGTCTGTTGCTTAGGTAAAATTAAAAGTGGTTTTAGTCAAAAAGTATTTTAAACCATTTTGAAAACTATTTGAAGAAATGAAGTGCAAATGCATTTTGATTAATGAGATACTTGATGATATCATATCTCTCACATCTTTTGTCTGCATATCACTGTTGAGAGACTATTTTCAATACAAGTTATAAAATTTAAAATTGAATTAGGGAGATTTGCTCCTAATTTAACTTCCTATATAGAATTTATATCTGAAATCAGACCAACTGTTCTTCTTCCATCTTCCCCCCCTGTTTTCTTTTGTCTGTCACCATCATCATTTTAGGTAATTTGAGCTAATTATCATTCTGAAATTTTTTTAAAATTATAAACTGTATTAAAAATTTTACAAATTTAAGTTCTTACAGCAGAAATGGAGCTCCATCATTGAAAGAATGGTGTTCCAATAACAAATGAAGAGAAATAATAGAAACTAGTATTTAAGGTTTTGACTGTTGGAATATGAATATATGAGCAAATTGGATATAGCAATATGACCAAACAACGTTGTGGTTTTGTGGGTACAGATGGCATTTGAAGTATACAGTTCGGTCTTTCTTTGGAGCATTCTGTTTGTGTTGTTTTGGTTTGGTTTGTTTTTTTTTTTTTTTTTCCTGGTTACCCTAAAGCATTGCATGTGTGTGGATTTATTGAAATAATACAACATTTAAACAAGTAGTTTGTCTACAAAGTTTGTATGTTGTGGTTTAGATTTTACTATACAGTAAGATTCTCACTTATACTTGCATAATTCCCTACAAATCTATGTTTCCTTTTTATGAACATATATTTTTACTCTGAAAAGTGACTGAAAATGCTACTTCACAGACTGACTTTTTCAGTGAATTCAAATTTATAGTTGCTCAACTAAATTTTAGGTTTGAGATACCTAACTGTTAGTGGTTTTCCTCACTTTACTCTCATTAGTATTGTAGAGTCAAGTGGTTGGCATAAAGGTATGAACTGGCTTTTTTTTTTCCACATCGTCAACAAAAGTTTGCAAGTAGTTGTATCTGCATCTGTGTTGAAGAGGCTGTGCAGGTAGAGGAACTTAATTGGAAAATTCCATGTGTCACACAAAGGGGACAACTTTAACCTTCCTTTCTGGAAATGAAATGCAAGAACTAAAGGGTATTAATTGACTGCTAAATACAAAGATGAGTTTGTAAATAAGTAAGAAAAATGCAGCTGTAAATTAAATTCAGCCCATCTTGCTATAAAAATTTGTGAGAAATACCAAATAAGATATCTACAATACCTCTTTCTGAGTGTCACTTTGCAGAGTATAGCCATGTGTTGCTTTATTTAATTTGATATAAAATTACTTCTTTTGTTTTTTTCAGCAAACAAGAGCATGACTCTTCAGATGAAACAAAAGAATGCAATAAAAGTCAAACTAAAAAAGTTGCGTCAGTTGAAAAGAATGAAGACTCATCGTTGTCAAATACAGAAAACGTTCCTAGTTTGGAACTCCCTGACAGCAGCTCAAAGAATTCTTTGCATGACAAAGGAGCATATTGTGATTCAGATAATAACAAACAATTAGTAGATGAGAAACAAACATACATTCATAATGAAAGTGAGTTGAAAACTTGCCAAAGTTCAGATAATGTTATCTTGAATGAGCAGACTAAAGTACATAGCTTGGATGAAACTACACTTTCAGCATTGAACGCAAGGGACTTAAAACTAACATTGGGTGAGGATGTTAGTTTTGAGCAGTTCTTGAGAAAAAGAGATGAACCTGAATCCGTTAGTTCAGACATTAGTGAGCAAGGCAGTATTCATTTGGAGCCTTTGACTCCCTCAGAGGTACTCGAGCATGAAGCTACTGAAATTCTTCAAAAAGGTAATGTTGCACCGTCATCAAAGCAAGCTGGACAACTCTCTGAACAAACAGATGAGACTTCTAAAGAAAGCAGTCCCAACAGAATGGAAACAGCTGTAAACAAGACAGATGAAAATGAAGCAAGCTGAAATTATGTTAAATTTATTGTTTGTTATAAACAATGGTAAGAACACCATGGACCATTCCTGATGAGTGTGCTCATGGGTGCTAATTATTAAAAATTTTAAAAAAGCGGGTGGGGAGAGTGAGGAGAGGAAAAGACACTAAGGGGGAAGTTCTGCGTATGAAGATAGCATGTATGTGTATGTACAACTGAATTAACTGAATTTACAGAAGATAACACATTTTAATATACTTCCTGTCTCTTAGATATCATATCTTATTACATGGACATTTGAAACGAGGAATAAATTCTAATTTTTATAGTTAACTAGCCTGGGATAAGGTGATTTGTTTGCCAAGAAAATATTTTTTTAAAACCTTCAGTGTGAATATCATTGAAGAGTGGAATTCCGTATGAATTCACTTCTGATGCTGAAATGGAGCACACTTGTAATGATGGTTATTGGTTTGCTGGTAATTTGGATAAACATAAACCTTTGGACTTGGTGTCACATTCCTGTCTGTAAAAGCATGTAAACAGAATTATATGAATCTATGCACCTCTGTACAGGTGTAATCCTGCCAGGCTGTAAGCTTACCTTAATAAACTTTCAGTGAAAGTGGAATTATTACAATAAAAATATATATTTGTGGGGTTTTCAGTGTGCAGGCTGTGCAGAAATACCGAATATAATTGTATGAAGTAGAACATACTGCTGAAAGTACTGTAGCTGTTAGGCTTTTACCATTGCTTTAATTATTCTTAGCCGTAGACCCATAGGAATGGTCTGTAAGTCACACCAAAGTATGGTTTAATGTAAAAACTGTTTTAAGCAAAACGAAGGAAAACCCCAAACTGGAAACACCAATTGGCATGCACTCTGCCATTTTGCAGCTGCTACTGGCTAACTGTTACAAAAAGGACACAAGGACATATAAAGTAGAATTGTACAGTTCAATTTCAGGACTTTTTGTAGTCTAAATTGTGTACAGAAAGATGGCTGCTGATTTTGGTTTGTTTTTTTGATTTTTTTTTTGTCTTCTAGTTAGCAGCTAGATGTAGGAATGCATATGCTTAATGGTAGCTTGCTCTTAGGACTTCATTTCTCCATTTGAAACATTCAGAATGTGCTTTTGACTTACAGTTTTGTTTCTAATGAATGTTAAATGTTTTGAACAGCTGTTAAAGTACTGCTGTAAATTATTACTTTTTGAGTAAATATTTGCAACAAAATTTTGTCTTTGTGCATAATTTTATGCTCATCTTGAAACTTTGGGCATAGTCTTCCCACATTTTTTTAAAAAAGCTTTACTGTCAGTTCCCAAAAACTGTTTCATTGTAAAATTGTGAGTTTGAGACTTATATGGGTTTTTTTGGCTGGTTGGTTTTGGGTTTTTTTAGAATTAAATGAGCAAGTGCCTATGCATAAACATATTTTTGTAGCACTGTACTGTGGTAAAAAGTGGTAATTTTTCCAGATTATATAGAGATTTTTCTGGGCTGTCAGCATGCAACTGAAGTCTACTTTGTCCTCCTAGGTTAACTGGGCTCAGCTGCTAAATGAGTCTAAACAGCAACAGTACTAAAATTTAGAGACCATCTAGCTTGTTTTTGGAGCCTCTAAAAAAACCACGTTAATCTGAACATCTCAAAAATTGCTTCAAACTCTAAAGAGGTATATGACTTAAATTTTGAATTGCACCTTAGTTTTCATCCACACAGGTTTAGAAGACTTTTCAAAAGAAAAGTGGAACAGTTTACTTAGTCACAGCTCTTCAAGATTTACTGCTTTTAAGAACTTCAAATAACAAGACACGTGAAAAAGCTGAGAGCAGTAACTTGTAGTATTCTTTTGTTCTTTAAAGATTTTAGTGAAATTGTTAACTCTAAGTTAACAGTCTGATGTCTTCATGCATATATACATGGAAGATGTATAACTAGATGAACTAAAATTCATTACAGTTTTTCCCATGTTAGGTAATGCATTTGCTGAATAAACACTGTAGGAGACTGCATAATTATGGAGATGAATCTCTTATCATGTTCTTTGGGAGGTTTCCTAGAGATAAGTTAAATTAGTACTTTTGGCTGAAGTCACTCCAGAGGATCAAGTTCTGTTGAATGCATTTTGAGCTATTTGAACATAAGCACAGTGTTTTGTTTGTTTCTGAGTCATTTAAAAGTGTTGGGTGCTTTTCCATCCAGCTGTCAGTAGTTCTTATTCTGTGTCGCCACCTCTCTTGTTGTACTTAGAAAGGCATTTTTCCTCTCATTGCCTTGTCAAAAAACAGAAACTTTAAGTTAATTCTTGGTATCCATACTAGAATCACCACTTTCCCTCTTCTCAAGAGTTTTACCATATTTGCTTGAATAACAATTGCAGGTACTTTATATAATGTTTATTTTCAAGGAAATCACATGCCATGCACACGCTATCCCCGTTATTTGCATTTAATGGAAAACTTGTCATTATTAGATTATGGTCAGTGACTGTTCAGTCACTTGGAGCTTTCTCATGTGCAGCCAGGGTCTCAATTTGCCTTGTGCAGTTTGGGAGAGACACTTCGGTTTACCTGCAGTTCAGTTTTTCTTTTACAGAATGGATGAGTAAACCAAGCGGCAGGGGAACCAGATCAAATCATAGCACATGCTGAGTTCTAAGTATTGGGTGATGTATTTTAAACAAGGAAATTTCTATAACAAAATCGTGTCCAGTTTTCCTGGAAATGGGGAGAGAGAGAGAGAACCCTAGGTGACAAGTGTTAAATCATGTTCCGTGATGCTTGACTACCTGAAGGCATTAGAAATTGAAGGTCAGGGTAAAGAATCTTAAGTAAGTCTTGGTGTTCTGCAAAACCTTAAATAAAAGATCTCAAAGTTTTTCTGCAGGCATAAAGCATTGTTACTTATATGCTAGAATGTAGAAAACAGTTGGGTCTTTTATTCCACTAAAGACACAGTAGAGTTTTTTTAAAGACTGCTTAGAAATCTTTGTGTAGGGCAAATTTTATACCTGATTGTTCTCTTTTTTTTTTTTTTTTTAATAGTGTTTTATTTTTGAGGCTTGTGAGCTTATTTTGATTAGTTGCATCCTATGGGGTTTTTTGATATATGCTTAGTATGCCTCTAATAAAGTGGTAAGTATTTTTTATGATTACTGGAATGATTTTTGTCTTTAATAAAAATGTTACTCCATAGTCAATGTAGTTCAGAAGGACAGTTCTTAGTTCTAAGATGAAGCCCAGCATGTTATCTCCTTTGAACATTAGATTTTTACACATATTTTTTACTCTCTAATTTTTCTTCCTTTAATTCAGTGCTGAGAGGGAAAGTATGTTTATTTATATTTCATATTAACTTGCAGACACTATGCAGAAAGTTCTTTGCTATGTTCATTTGAGTTTTGGATCACTGCTCTAGCTTTAAGACAGTTAAAACTTTGTATTCAGCCATTTCATTGATCCAAAGTAACCATGTTAAATTGATGTTTCCTGTACTGCACCGTTTTTTAAAAAAAAAAGAAATGTGGGAAATGTTTAGCTGTGAAACACTTCATTTTTGGGGAAATTAATGGAGTTGCTATGCCTGCAAGGTGTTATAAAGCTGATGTATTTATTGATGTAGAAATGTGCTGGTTTGAGGTGGTTTTACTGCTCAAACCATTATTTCATAGAGGCTAAGGTTTTTGTGACAATCAGAGGGATAACTGTGATGTTATATGTATATCTGCATTTAAATTTAGGCAAATTTACCTTTGTATTAACAAAATTAAATGCTCAAAATACATATATGGGCTGTATCAGATGATTTAAAATAAGATAAATTCTGTGATCAAAAAGTGTTGGCTTTTTGAGCAACCAATTCTCCATTCTTTAAGCTTTTTTTTAAGTAACATTCCTAAACAAATCCCTTATGTTCTGAATTTAACGTAAATAAACTTCATTTCATATTTTAGTTCAGTAAATTCTCAATGTTAGGCATTTAATTCAAAAGAGGTGTTTTCTCCAAAAATTTTAGTGAATGAGGTAGCATATTATGGTATCTTTATGAAGAAAGTTATCTCATACTGATAGTCTTGAAAACTTAACTTTCATATGTTTTGCTCATAAATACTAGGAATGAATCATTTAGACTAAAGGGAAGTAGCCTGCAGGTCTGCTTCTTACAGCCTCCTGTGACTTTTTCATTCCGATCCTGTCATGATACTCTAGCAATGTATTGAAGTCCTTTTTTTCCTCTGTTTTAAGGCTGTGGAAGTGGTGGGACATGAATACTTAATAGTTTAAACTGTATATATTTGAATTACTTGAGTGTTTGCTGTGTGAAATGAGGATTTAATTTTGTGTACCAGTTTCTCAGGTTTTCAGCTGAATTCAGCTGAGATTTGTGTCTTTCCATTTATTGGAAAGATTTAACTTTCTCTTTGAGCTAGCGAGTTGATGGCATGTGGTATAATTTTCCTATGATATTTAATGAAATGCAGTTTATTTGGTAAATATCATTTAAATAGATTCTTTTTCCCTGTCACAATCCTTTATATCTTGGAATGTCTTCTCCTCTTGATAGTTGGTGTATAATCAACTTTCAAGTCGTTGGCTGGTGATGGAAAGCAAAAGACACTTCTACAGAGGAGAAGCAGGAGTAAGTTCAGAATTTTAATAATGAATAGTAGTGTGCAACACACAGGTTAATCTCCATTGTCTGATAAAGTAAAGCTGTTTTACTGATTCCTAAAACTGTAACTTGAGGAATCAGAACGGGTGGGCGCAACCAACCTTCATGGCTCTGAAAGACAGCAAAGAGCTTTAGACAGGCTATAAGATCAGAATTCCCAAAAGGAGCCTAAGGCAACATGTTCATGCAAGGAAAACTTTTCTTCTATTTATGTGACTTGCCACTCTATTTTCTTTCCCAGATAACATATACTGGATGCCCTCCTGAGACCGCAGGAAGGCCCATTATCCTAGAGAAGATGAGAGTGATTGTATGATCTTTCCTGATGAAACAAAAAAGAAGCTCTTACCGTGTGTCATGTATGCTGTTTTATATTAATGTAGTGACATGTGCCTTAGTGTTCAATAGTGGCATTTTATTGATCTTTTCCAAATAATTAAGTTCTGTCAGGTCTTCTGAAGAGCCTCTTAGCAATACTGTTTAAAATAAATATCCCTTAAACTTTGTCACTTTTCAGTGACCTTTGTCTGATACAGCAGGCTAGTAAGAAAAGTATGAAGGCAGTCTGTGTCATCCTGTTTTAAGACTGATAATGACTTAGCCTTTCTTGAGGATAACCTACGAAGTTTCTTCAAGTTATAAGAGAAACTTCAGTGCATAGAAATTCTATTGTTTATAGACCTGCTTGGAACTTAATATTGATTCAGTTAAAATTAGACAGACTTATTAAAACACAATATACTTTTTAATACCCTAAAACTTATTTCTATTTGATTAAAGAAATCCTTTGTCCTCAGGGTTCCTCAGAAGGCAGTCTTGATGATGTAAAAGGAAGCAAAAGTACAAGCTGCATTTAAAATACAGTAAGCATACCAAAGTTTTTCCTAGCAAAGTAATGCAATACTTGTGGATAGGAATGTATAATAATCTACTCTGCCCAAAACTCTTCTCAGTTTTATTCAGTGGAGTGAAAGATAAGTTTCCTCCCTTCCCTTTGCAGTTGTTTCCTGTGGCATATTTAAAATACTAGTGAGGGTGTAGTGCCAATGTCAAGCCAGATGTTATATTTATATGGTCTTTAAATAGCAGGAGCAACATTATGGAAGAAGAGCCTGGGAGCTAAAATTCAAACCTTTAATTGATATTAAAAATAATTAACTGAGTACAGCATAGAACTAAAGCATACTGCAGTTAATATTTTGGCATTATTCTTCTAGTTGACCCTTGGCTGTTTCATAGTGATTTCTTTGTCCATCCTGCAGAGTTCTAAAACTCTCCTAGTGTCTCCACCAAAGAGTCTGGTGCTCTTCACTTGTTTAATCTGTCTTTTCTCTCAAGTTGTAGAATTAATGAGCATAACAGAATCCAAAATAATTATTCCCATCTTATACTTTGCTGCAGTTTCTTGCTTCAGTTTCACAACCCCAAGAAGGGCTATGTACCTGGAAGTTTATCTTTCTATTACGGCCACAGATACAGTTGAAGGGAAAAAAGATGATTCTCTTTCCTTGTAAACCTGCATCACCAACACCCTTGGGACTATCATACTACATACACCACCAGAAATAGTTAAGTGAATTTTGGTTTATAAATCAATTATTTTACTTAGGCATTATAGGTTTTTTACATTAAGGTATCTGAGTTTTACAAAAGTCTAAGTTATATCTCATAGATTTGCTAAACCAAGGTTTATAACCTTTGATTCTGTAAGAACATTTCCGAAGATTGAAGCATCCCTTTTCTTCTGGAGCTGCTAAGTCTCACTTCAACCAATTTCTTTGGATACATGCTGAGCTAAATCACAGAGCTGATCAGGCTGAAAAAACACCACTGGCAGCAGTGACAAGCAGCAGCTGAGAACAGCATGGCCAGTTTAGGCCAGTCAGTTGCTGCTGAACGGCAAACCGCAGCCTAAGAAAAACAGCTTTTGGAGTAGTCCGTAGGGGATTGTAGACAAATTCCTACTTTGGGGAGAAAGCATTTCCATAAGAGGAATAAACATAGTGAGCTTTCAGTATACCAAGCAGCTGCAAGTAATGAAGCTATTAGATCAGTTCCTTTGGAAACTGTCGGCTTATTACGGCTGAATCTCCAGATAGGTTATTAGTTCTGTGTATTTCAATTAAATGCTGCCACTGAAGGTAGAAACCATTTTTGAGTATGACCTATATATACATCCTTCAGTGTAAAAGCTTAAAGGTTATAATACAACTTCTATCATTTGCATGCACATGATGTATGTTTTTAGATCTATTCAAATTTAACATACTTGGTTCATCCAAGCAAGCACATTGCAATAGGGGCACCCTATTGCAGTTACAGAAGACTTATTTTCAACATAAAT